AGTGATAATAATTTATTAATAATTACAAGCTCTGTTTGTGTGCATACACAAAGAAGATCTATACATACTCTTTAGCCCATTATCAAGTATAGTATATAGAGTATAGCAATATCTACTATATGTATCTTGGTCTTTGTGTATGTAGACATTAAGAGAAAGTACGTGTATGTATTACAAGCCTTCAGTAATGTAGACAGAGCCCAGGCTGAGTATAGAGGAATGCAATAGCTAAACTTTTACTCTGAATTTGATGATTTTTTTCAAAAGATCTGAGAGAGTTTGATAAACCTTTGTCCACCCTTTTCAACTTCCTCAAATTCAGGGGGCATGTCTACACTACAGAATTTTATCGGAAAAACGGCCATTTTTCCAACAAAACCTGAGTTACATCCACACTACAATCATGTTCTTCTGAAAGTAAATTGAAAGAACAGAGGGGTTTTTCCGGCATTGGTAATCCTCTTTCTACAAGGAAGAAGCCTTTTCCCGAAAGAGCTCTTTCAGAAAAAGACATGTGTAGACAGGAAAGAGGGAGTTCTTTCGCAAGAAGAGAAAAGAGGAAAAAGCACAGGTTCCCTGGTGGCCACTCTGTCCATTAAATGCGGGAGAGCATCCATTCAGCATGGACACAATCTTTCGAAAAAGCAGATTGCTTTTTCTATGCACTTTTGTGTATGGACACTCTCTTTCAGATGATCTCTTCCAAAAAAAGGTTCTTCCGAAAGAAGCCTGCAGTCTAAACATAGCCTAGGGCTAGTTAGCCTCATTCACGCTCATGTACCATTTGCAAGTGAAGTGTGGGAATCCAATGAAGTCTGTCTCGTGGTCTATCCTATTTCTAGTAAGGTGCCTATCATGATGGAATAAACTCTTCTTGCAAGATAGTCAGACTCAGAGGCTAGTGGAGGCCAGACTTTGGAGGATTTATATAGCCCATGGCTTGTGAGAATCCCCAGCCCTGTTGACAATGTGGTTCTTTGGTGGCTTTTGCGAGAAGAGCAATATTTGCGTTTACACTGGTGCATGCCGAGCCAGCAGAGGGCTCTCTAACCCACAACAAAAGTAAACTTATCCACCTGTATCACTTCTGGACAAACAGGAAAATGCTACATGCTTTCCAGGAAGTTTCTGTGAAACTGATTTTAGCAGATTGTAATGAATCAGCTGCTTGAAATAGCTGCAGTGCTAATGGGAATTTACTTCTGACATGGAAATGGATCCCCGAGGATAATGCTGCCCTCTCAGCTGCCAGAATTGTACAAGGCAGTTAGCTCTGCCTGGCTTCCCTTCTGTCTCCTGTTGCAACAGGCCCTTTTGATAAGTCTACCCAGCACCGGTGACCCTAGAAGTTCAGCGACTCTTGATTTTTGGTTGAACAAATCTGTCTGAATTTGCTGCTTTACGTAGTAATCTCATTTCTTGAATGAAATTAACCGTCCCTTTGTTACTAGCATTTGGTGTTCTTTCCTAATGTAGGAATGGGAAGGAGAATTTTCCCCCTTGGGTCTAGGATGGAAAGATCCAGAGAAGGATTTTTTTTCTTCCCTTTGTGATGCTGCTTGGGAGTAAGGAGGGAGTATCACCTGGGAAGAGATTTCTGTTATTGCAGCAAGCTGTGGACATTATTAAAACTTTTAAGTTTCCCATTTTCTTTCTGTCTTCCTTGAAACAATTGCCCCTCTCACATTCCCTGGTGAAGAGAGATACATTTCTCATATGTAGAGTTCAGTAGTTTTAGGGGCTGAGGGATGGCTGGCAAGAGGCCGATAATTTAACTATTGGAAAGGACATGATAGATGCAGTAGAGTTAGACTTGGCAGTGTGTGTGAGAGAGAGGGTTGTAATAATTTTGATGGATAATAGTTTACTCATAAGCATTTTAAAATGTTTAATCTTTTTAATTCTTCACAGTTGTACAAACATATGGGCTGTAAACATGACTTTTAATTTTTATCTATTTCAATTTTCACTGTTGCAGGAAATTATGGGGCAGTGTCAGATGCTAATTATTTAACAACAGTAGATGATGAGATGCAAAAACATAAAGCTTTATAATTGCGAGCACACACATTGTCAACCTCACACGTCAAAATATCCAAAGTAAGTACTTTAAAGCAAATGCTAATGCATTCTGAAGGATTATTTTTCTTAATTTGTGAGTGTAAATTATGTAAATTGCAAGTATTATCAACATTTTTTTAATGTTTGTGGGTGTATGATGAAATTGATGTTTACTGACATTTACCAATAAAAATCGAATCAGTCCAAGCCTAGGTGTAGTCAGCAAGAGAGATAGTATGATCCAGTGGTCAGAGTACTAGCATTAAGCTGTAAGAGCTTGAAGTTTAATTCTGTGCCCTGCCACAGACTTTCGGTGTGACCTTTGACAAGTCACTTAGCTTCTCTGTGCCTTGGTTCCCCATCGTACAATAGGATAACAGCCCTGTCATACCTTATGGGGATGCTGTGAAGATACATCCTTTAAAGATTATGAGGTGCTCAGATGCTATGATGAAAGGGGTCAAAGAAGTACCTACTTACATTCCACAATTAGTTAACTTGGGGCCAGGTTTTATGCAAAAATTGGACACAGCCTCACTGCCCCTTAATTCTGAGAGGGCAGACTTGAATCTGGCAGAGTGCAGCCAAGTCTATTTGCACTCAATATAAAAGCCCCTTTGTGTCTTTTATACCTGTGACCTGTCTCTTCTCTATGGTGAAGGATGCTTCAGTGGAGGGGATGAAATAATCCATTGCTATGGATCATAGAAGTGTCAGACTGGAAGGAACATTGATAGTTCTGCCTTAGTGCATAGGACTGGACTAGGTGACCTAAGTGTCATCTAGACTATCCCTGGCAAGTGTTTGTTTCATATGTTATTAAAAGCCTCCAGTTATGGATATGCGCACCCCATCCCCAAATAATTTGCTCCACTAGCTTTACAGTTGGGAGGTTTTTCCTAATGTCCAACCTAAATCTCCCTTGCTGAAAATAAGCCTATTGCTTCTTGTCCTAGCCTCAGAGGTTAAGGAGAATAATTGTTCTCCCTCCAACTACTAACTCCCTTTTATGTGCTTGAAGACTGTTAACAAGTCTCCCACTTAGCCTTCTCTTTATCAGACTAAACAATGTTTTCATTCTTCCCTCATAAGTTGCGTTTTCTAGACCTTTAATACTTTTTCTTGCTTTTCTCTAGACTTTCTTTGATTTGTCCATATCTTTCCTGAAATATGCTACTTAGAGCTGGCCACCATAGTCCATCTGGGTATGTCTACACTAGCCCCATAGTTCGAACTAGGGAGGCTAATGTAGGCATTCGAAGTTGCAAATGAAGCCCAGGATTTAAATATCCTGGGCTTTATTTGCATGTTCCCGTCTGGTCGCCATTTTTAAATTCCACTAGTCCGAAGTAACTGCCAGCGGCTACATGCGGCAGTGAAACGGTAATTTGAACTAAGTCCTTAGTTCAAATTAACTGTTACACCTCATTCCATTAGCCTCCCTAGTTCGAACTAGGGGGCTAGTGTAGACATACCCTCTGAGAACTTATCAGTGCTGAGCAGAATAGAAGTACTTCTCCTGTTTTGCTCACAACACTCCTGCTAATGCACATGGTGCTTGGAGCTATAAACTTCTTAGTAGTTTATCTGGGACTATCACTGACACCTGTTTGGCCTGGGCAAATTACTTATCTCTTATGTGCCATAATTCCCACACACCCCCATCCATAAAATGGGGATAAGACCTACCTCTGGAGTGGAGAGAGTTGTGAGGTTTAATGTGTTCGTGTGAGTACAGTGTTATACAGTGCCAATGCTAAGATCTGAAAGGACTCATTTTGATGCAGGGTTGCCAGCAGAGACTCCTCTGAGCTAGGCAGATCCAAGGGAGGGCAACAGCCTCAGAGCAAATGGAGATTTGTTTCTTTTTTTAGCCTATGTGTCAACAGCCTGTTATGCAAATTACAATACACAGCTCCTGCAGGGATCCTGCATATGTAGCCACGGTGGCAATCTGTTTGCTATGTGGACAGATGGTCCATGGTGTCGTCAAGTGGAAGTCTTTTTACTGTGTTTGTAGTTTTATGATATGTCTCTTACTTGGCGAGTGGGGGACAAGTAAATGATTAAATATTTATGCTGAGATTTTCAAAGGAGCCTAAAGAACTTGGATGGCAAAATCCCCCAGAAAAAGTGTGAGTTGGGGGCCCAATTCTCTCAGAAAACCGCAACCTAGAATGTAAGAAATAAAACCACTCTGGCGCACACAAAGATGTTGCCCTGGTAGCAAAACTAAGTTCTATGTATGCTAGAGCAGAAGTGAAGGCAGGCTTATGGTAAAAGCATAGATAAGGTGTCAGAAGATGTAGGTTCTAGTCCTGGCATTGCCACAGGCACTGTATGCCAACCTGGGTAGGTCTCTTCATTTCTGTGTGCCTCATCTCCACATCTATAACATGCGGGTAACAATTTGGATATACTCGAGCTGTGGACTAGGATGGGCTTGTAGTTAAGGCTGAGGAGTCTTGTGGTTTCTCCCTTGCTCTATTGCACACACTAGCCATAAGGATTAAAAAAAAAATCAATTAAAAAAATTGGGTTCCCAGAAGTCGAACTTAGTAAATTCTCTCCTGTTCACCACACTTACTGTGAGCACTAAAGGCAATCTCGTGCACCACCAGACCACCATTCTGGACTCTTGGGGAAAGGTCTGGTTACCTTTTCAGTGGAAAGAAGGAGACTGCCAATACCACACACCCATTCCCTGCTGTCGCTGACATCTGCTGAGTGGGGTGGGATTTTTGTGTGCCTTTTCCACTATAAAACAGACTCTGCATGCTGCTTTGAGTGTCTTGTCCAGCCTTGGCAAGGCTGATACCAAAGGACTCGGAGTAGGATATTTTTAATGCGTGTGAAGCATTTGTAAGAACAAAGGGCTTCTGTAAACCTTATCTGGCTAATCCCCTTGAAATCTGACATTGCCATCATCCCAGCAAACAACCCAGCATGACTGAGCTAGAGGTCACAGCTGGGCCTATTAAATCCTGTCCATTCTCTCATGAATTATGTATCTCTGCATTTCTATTGAGCCGCTGCCTCTCTCTTGATGAAATTCTACTTTAGCGATAAGGATTAAGCCACCTGCTTCCGGGGATAGTGCTGAAGTGTACCCTGTGTTTAATAAGTGGTGGGATTTTACATTTCAAAGGCATTGTTTGCCTGTTAATAGTCTGCGACAGTTGCTTTCAGTTTACTCCTATGGCCATTTCCAGAACCTGGGATGAAATTTAAATATAAAACAGGAGATGCAGCTAGGCTGAAAGGCTTAAATAAGTTTTTGCCTTTCAATCTAATGCCATAGGAAGAAAGAGGTACTGATTTGAATTTAAATACAGAAAAGGACTGTAGGCGAAAGGTAGGAAAAGTTAATAGTTCTGTCTCGTAAAAAACATTAATAACCATCATTAATTCTTAGGTGGCACTGTTCATTTTCAATTCACTTAAATCCAGCCATGCCCCTCTGCCATGTACATTGGACAAACTGGACCATCTTTAAGCAAAAGAATAAATGGGCACAAATCAGACATCAAGAATGGTAACATTCAAAAATCAGGGAGCACTTGAACCTCCCTGGACACACAGTAACTGACTTGCAAGTTGCCATTCTTAAGGGAAAAAACTTCAAAAACAGTCTGCACAGTGAAACTGGTGAGCTGGAATTCATATTCAAATTTGACACCATCAGAAGGGATCTGAATAGAGACATGGAATGGCTCTCTCATTACAAAAACAATGAGGAGTCCACGAGGCATACCTGTGCTGATCAATAAAGGCTTCTTTGTCGGCGCGGCGCATCCAGACTGCCCCGATCTGCCGACAAACAGCTGTTCGGCAGAGCGGGGCAGCCATTTAAATTTAAATGAAGCCGCGATTATTTTAATCGCGGCTTCATTTCCCTCTGCCGATCTGGCTAATCTACATGCCTCCGTCGACGGAGGCATGTAGTTTAGACGTACCCTTAGTGTTTAAGGTGCCGCAGGACTCCTTATTGTTTTTCCAAATACAGACAAACATGGCTAACTCTCTATCCTCACAATAAGTAATTTCCCCTTCAGATACTCTCACCTTCCCTTCACTTTTGGAAGTGAGCCGTGTCCACCCTGATCTAACCAGCATCGATTCTGTTCAATAGCTTCATCAACTACTTAGATATCGGCATAAAGAGTACGCTTATTAAGTTGTGGATGATACCAAGCTGGGAGGGTTGCAACTGCTTTGGAGGACAGGGTCATCATTCAAAATGATCTGGACAAATTGGAAAAATGGTCTCAGATAAACAGAATGAAGTTTCATAAGGACAAATGCAGAGTGCTCCACTTAGGCAGGAACAATCCGTTTAACACATAGGGGATGTGTCTACACTGCACCCCTTTTCCGGAAAAGGGATGCAGATTAGACACTTCGGAATTGCAAATCTGCGGGGGATTTAAATATCCCCTGCGGCATTTGCATTTACATGGCTGCCGCTTTTTTCCGGCTTGGGGATAAGCCGGAGAAAAGCGCCAGTCTAGACGCGATTCTCCGGAAAATAAGCCCTTTTCCGGAGGATTTCTTATTCCTACTTGAAAGTTTATAGTGGAATAAGAAAGTAGGAATAAGAAATCCTCCAGAAAAGGGCTTAGTTTCCGGAGAATCACGTCTAGACTGGTGCTTTTCTCCGGCTTATCCCCAAGCCAGAAAAAAGTGGCAGCCATGTAAATGCAAATGCCGCAGGGGATATTTAAATCCCCCGCAGATTTGCAATTCCGAAGTGTCTAATCTGCATCCCTTTTCCGGAAAAGGGGTGCAGTGTAGACACATCCCCTATGTGTTAAACGGATTGTTCCTGCCTAAGTGGAGCACTCTGCATTTGTCCTTATGAAACTTCATTCTGTTTATCTGAGACCATTTTTCCAATTTGTCCAGATCATTTTGAATGATGACCCTGTCCTCCAAAGCAGTTGCAACCCTCCCAGCTTGGTATCATCCACAACTTAATAAGCGTACTCTTTATGCCGATATCTAAGTAGTTGATGAAGATATTGAACAGAACTGGTCCC